GTTGTTGGAGCTGTAAACGATAAGAACGGATTCTGCGCTCTTCGTAGCCCGAAAGAACCCTAACGTAGAACATGGCTTTTCTCCCAAAATCAATTAACTTATTCATAATTTCGCGCCTCCAAATATAATAATTGGACTAATTTACAGTATGAAATTCAAAGGGAAAATGGTATGGGATGAAGGTGATAGTAATGGAGTGGGGTCAAGTGGTGGATGGGTAAAGAAGGTGAACTTTGCTCGGTTTTTTCTTCTTTTATTTATTTAATTCAGTCATTCCACAAGGTCAAACATTTGGGTAGATTTTTCTCATCAAACAATTTTCTCTTTTATTAAAAATTCATAAAATGTTCATTTTATTGTTGAAATTAATCTTCCATATTGTTTCAAAGAACAAAAGAAAATCTTCATTTACCTATATTTGGCTTTTTATCTATTCTACTCTCCTTGTGTGTATACACAAAACCTGCACTTCATTTCAAATCAATTGTAAGCTATTTTAGGCTGACTTAATTTCATGTGTTATGAGTTCTCATCGACGAACTTTTGTAGATTTGTTGTTTTAATTGTTTTAATAGTGTGTTTTTTGGGGCGAAGCTTGCCGGAAATGGCGAACTCCGTCGCCCGACAACCTTCACACTTGAGTTTTCATTAATATTTGTCACATTTTGATCCTCAAACTTTAATTGTTGTTGCACGTAATCTATTAAAAATCATTGCCATTCACATCACATTTTTTTTAATAAATGCATCATATTTTAATTGTATTAAAGGTCCCTAATCTTTACATATTTTTATACTTATATCTTCAATATTTTTCCTTACAACTTTATCATTGTTACGTCTCGGCACCGAGACTCAAATAAAAATGCCACGCAAGCAATCCACGTAGACAGGAAAGTCCAAAATCCTAACTGGTTAGATGTAAAGAAATCATATGGATAACGGAAGCTCTTATGCCGGAGAACTACCTAACGGCTGAAGTGCATAAGTCCGAGACATTGCACAAAGAAATTGAAGAAGCCGAGGTTTTTCACCTAGAATACCTATATAAAGCCTCATCCAACCAATGCCCTCACTTCACCCGAAGTTGATGAAGCTGAAGCTACCAATTTTTCGGAATGATTTTTACGAAGCTGATGAAGTTGAAGCTGTCGACCATGCCTAACAAGATTTGCAGTCAATTTTTAGGAATGATTGATGTAATGTTTGTAATTATGTCAGATGTGTCGCCTATTGTATATGGCTGTTGACCTGCTATCAAGATATTTATTGTATGATAGACATTGATTTGAAACCCCAGTCAAGGAGATGAGGCCATAAGGTTCTGATCCAACGGTATCACGTTGGTCAAAACACTATAAATAGAACCACTTGGTAACTGAAAAATGGTTGGATTTTTAGACTTTGAACTCTCGATAATACAAATCATCTTGTAAACTCTACATACATAGTTTTGCTCCTTACATATATTTTGGGTTGATCTTTTGTTTGGTTTATATTAGCATTCGATTGGTGATTGTCATTAGCGCAATTACCCTTCTTTCACCTGCTGGAGCTTGAACATTTTTATCTCCCGCCATAAAGTATCTCCCGCGTTCACATTCATCCCGCTTCTTACTGATTTTTCGATCAAAACGCGCCGAGATTTGTTTGAGTTGGCGGGAGTGGGCCTGACATTTGTTATCCACGTAAGTGTCATGTTTTTTGAAATCAACAAATTAGCGTCGTCTGTGAAAATCTGTAAGCCCTCGCTTAGTCAGGCTCGCACAGATACTTTCAAGGCAATTCCTTAAATTTCAAAATTCGACCCGCACATGAATGTACGACTCAGACTTGGAGGACTATTGCTATATCCATAAATTACATTCATACACATGACGGAGAGGGTCCTATATTTGTCTACTCGGCGTTGATTATTTAATGGTATCGAGCCAATTAATCAAGTAACATATTTGGGCCTAGACTCGGTCCGGCCCACTATCTCACACGGCCATTTTCTTTCTATATATATGTGAGCTCACTTCACATGAGGTATGATGATTTCTAACCATAACCAAATCCCCTCTTCGGTCTCTTGCACTCTCTTTTTATCTTGTCCGACTTGACCATTGTAGTACAAATAGTCATCGAACATTTTTCTTGATCAGTGTCCTTTTGCCTCCTAATAGGGTGTTTATGTGTGCATGTGATATCTATGTGGCGGGAAGGTGGAAGTGATTCTGTTGACACATTTTTTGTTGTCAAAGATCATCAACCTTCTATTAATTAGGCCATATTATCCCGAAGACGATTTTCATTCAAAAATTATATTATCGTGCTTTAAAACAAGGGAAAATTATTTGCCGTACTTTTGTGTTTGTTATTTTTATTTTGAATTATTTAAAAATAAGAAAGACGAATAAGTTATAAGTCTTTTAACACCTGTTGGAAATTGGTTTGAAAGATCGAAATTTGGTTAAGTGATAAAACCAAAAGTTGGAAAAAGTGACTTTTGTGTCACCTTCGGCTAAATATTCGGACTTGATCCGATGGTCAATTTACAAAAGTAAATAAACTAACTTATTCTACTCGTCGAGTAGATCGTCGTGGTATATTTGGAATCTCAAAACCAATTTCGGATGAATGAGAAATTACGATCCAAAGTTGGGAAGAAAATAGAGTAAGCTGTCTGGAAAATTGACTAAGACCGTTGCTAGCTTATGACTTGGCTGTCGCTCGAGCGACATGCTAGCGAAAAAATCAATGTTTTTATCGCTCGAGCAAGGCGATGGCGACGACTAGCGATAGTGAGTGGTTCAACCTTTGGCAAGAGTTGTTGAGCTTGGGGTGCGACATTTCATTCACAACCCCTCATCTTCTATATATAGGACCTCTAAGGACGTCCCAATCTTCACACCCAATAATATGTAATCATATAGCATTCATTTTCTCTC